CTGTGCCTTCTGCTGCTGGTTGGACTGGGAGTCTTAGGAAGCATATGTATGTATTACTCATGTTTCGACTGAAAGGGAAAACACCTAGAATTGCATGAGTTTTACAAGAAAGTTTGCTGTGAATTGAGGCTTTGGGATGATTATAGGTGCTATATAAACACAAGGGGACTTATAACTATGTCCTTACAACATGATACTTTGTCACTTTCCCTCACTCCAGTAAAATGACTGTTTCCCTAGATCTTCAATACTCTCCCTACAATTTCAGCAAAAAGGAGGTAGTGGTTGTATTAAGGATTACATGGTTTTTTATCATTTCTTTTTTTGATCTGCAGTTTACAGAACTTCGAAGGTAGAAATGGAAAAATTGAAAAAACTACAACATTTCGAAGAAGAACTTCAGAAGAATGTTTCTCTACAACTGATGCATAATATGAATTGTTCCAAGACTATCAAGGAAGTCTCTGTTGCACTGCAAGCAACAGCCACCAAATTATGTTATGAGCTATCTAAAAAACCCTCAGGTAATCCTACTCATATATTCCTCTCTCAGTCATTTATTAGACAATGAACTAAATCCACTAGTCACTTGAGAATCAGTCTTTCCCTCAGAAACGATTATTTGGGGGAAGGAATTAAATGTGGTTGACAGAGGACTTGATATTTCTATGTAGTTAGAAGAAAACCAAAAAAAGTAATAATAACCTAGGCCCCCAAATTACACAAGATGATAGTTACTGAAGAAAACGTTAAGCAATATGCAGTTTCTCTAATCTGAAATTCACGGGGTTATTTTGGGTACTGAGGTCAATAGAAGATAGGAAGGAAAGAACATCTCTTTGTAGGTGACCTCATTCCTAAATTTTAATAAATGTCTAATGAAAGTCAAGAGAAAAGAAATAAAGTTAAGCCTTACCCTTGGAATTTGGATGAATTGGTCTTTTAATATCTCTAACAATTTTTATAGCTATTATAACTAAAATATGTTCTTTGTGCTCTTGCAAAGTCTCCCAAACATTCAACAAACCAGGAAGCTCAAAATGCTCTAGGTGGAGAAAGCAGGATTGATGTTTGTGGGGTTGATTCTCATCACACAAAGTTACTTGTGATTAGCTTTTTTTTTTTCCCATGTAGTCATACAAAAAATGACAAAGGGAGAGAAGGAAATTAGTTAATCATTATTCAGCGTTCCTGAGGTAGGAAAATATACTGGAACCCAAGTGTTTAATTTGAAATGGGTTGCTCAAATTATGTTTTGGACACATTGTGGTGGTATATAGAGGCCTGGAACACAAGATTCGCTTTCTTCACCTTTGATGTAAAAGAAAGACAAGTAAATGTGGTTAATTTAATACAAAGGACAATGG